GTCCGCCAGGCGTCGGCGTCCCGAGCCTGTTTTTTCAGTTTCCCGCCCCACGGAGCGCAGCGACACGCCCTCAGCTTGCATGGCGCAGCCTTCCGGCGGGGCCGCCGCCGCGACGCGCTGAGCAAAAGTTCCCGACCAGGTGGGGGGCAGGAGGGGAGGGAGGCCTGGGGCGTCCAAGGACAACTCGTGGCGCCAGGTGTTGGCGGCGTGCGCAAGGAGGCCGCGCGAGGGCACTAGCCTGCTGAGCTGGCGGACGGGCTCCTGGGAGGACGGGTCGCCTCATAGAAGCCCTCCGGGCTTCGAACAAGCCTTCGTGGGAGGCCCTGGGCCATTCTAAGGAGATGGCCCCCGCCTTCTAAGGGACCCATCGCCTTCTCAGAATGTCGTCCTTCTCGCACCGCTCCCGTGTGCGCGCGTTGAAAACACACACATATATATATATATATATATATATAGATATATATATATATATATATAAACGTCCCAGAGACACCAGGCGACTCTTTGTTTTGTTTCTTTTCTTTTTTTCCAATCGGCGGATCCCAGGGGTCTCGACCTCTTCCTCTGGTGACAGTCTTTCGTTCTGGGTCCATCTCTGATGGCCTTGGGCGCTGATGGGCGGCCAAGGGGGGGGTGAGGAGTGTGTGTGTGTGTGTGTGAGAGTGTGTGCGGACAGCATGGCGGGGGCTGGCTATGACATCACCCAAACTTCTCGTTATGACCCCTCTCTTCTTCTTCTTCTTATTATTATTATGTTTATTATTACTCTTCTTCTACTTGTTCTTCTTCCACTGCGCTCCACTGCGTTGCCTGCCCCCGTCCGCGCATATGCGTCGGGCCATGATGCGCTACGTTTCCTCTTCCTGGCCTGGCTCTCCTTCCCGCCGCACTCGAGCCCCCGAGCTCTCCATCCTGTCCCTGGGGCAAGTTTCGCATCCCGGGCAGCGCGCGGACGGTCTGAGGGGCTCGGCGCGGGCCTCTGCAGGCGCGGGAGAACTGGACGGGCGGACGGAAGGGCGGATGAACGGAGGAGGTTTGACGATGATGGTGGTGATGCTGTTGATGTTGATTTTGATGTGGATGTTGATGTGGATGTTAATGTCGATGGCGATGCTGATGTTGACAACGACGACGGCGACCATGCTACTGTTGCTGATGATGATGATGATGATGATGATGATGATGATGATGATGATGATGATGATGATGATGATGATACTGATACTGATGATGATGATGATGGTGATGATGATGCTGCTGATGATGATGAGACGGATGATGATGACGATACCGATGGTGCTATTGCTGTTGTTGATGATGCTGATGATGTGATGATGCGGATAATGATGCTGGTCCTGTTGTTGATGATGGTGATGATGATGATGCTGATGATGATGATGATGATGACGATGAGGGTGCTGATCATGATGACGAAGATGCTGATCCTGCTGATGATGGTGATTATGATGGTGATGATGATGACGATGATGCTGCTGACGATGATGATGATGATGATGATGATGATGATGATGATGATGATGATGATGATGATGATGATGATGATGATGATGATGACGAGGATGATGATGCTGATGCTGATGCTGATGATGAATCGGATGATGATGCTGCTGCTGATGATGATGATGATGATGGCTGGTCGTAATGATCACGCTGATGATGATGGTGAAGAAGATAATCGTGAGTATGATTTTGGTGAGGACGATGATGCTGCTGCTGATGATGATTAGTCTGCTGAAGCTGCTGCTGCTGCTTCTGCTGCTGCTGCTGATGAGACTGCTCCTGCTGCTGAGGAGAAGGAGTTGGAGGATCGTCGTCGTCGTCTTTCTACAATTGTTTCTTCGTTCCCTATCGTTCCCCATCTCTTCGGCCGTGGCTTTGCAGCTGGACGTTCGTCCGTGCGGCGTGGGGAGGAGGCCGCCCGGCGGTGCACCGCAGGCCACTCCCAGCAGGAGGTGGACGCGCGGCAGGTGCGGGCCCACCAGATGGAGGTTATCCAGGCCCACTTCAACAGGCGCCGGGCTCCTCGAGCATGTCGAACAGTAGAACATTGGCATGAGCATCGGAGCTCCGCGCGGACTTCTTGGATCTGGGCTGGACCCCCCTGGCGGTGCCTCCGTCGTAGCCCGCGATTGGAGGGGGCCCAGCGCCGATCCAATAAGTCCGTGCGGACCTCCGAAAGTTTATCCTATGCCGTTTATTGTTGCTTGGGATGAGGATGGAGGGGGAGGGAGGATCAGAGAAGGAAATACGTATCGATTTCGCTGCCCTTGCCTCGTTTTCGCCTTGTCTGGCCTTCTGGGAGGCCATCGTCGCCACGGCTGAATTCGCTCCGAAGTTTTGCACGCACCCCTGGAGAGGTCTGGGGAGTAGCAGTATCGGCATCTGTTGACTTCCCCAGAGGAGGAGGCAGGAAAAGGAGAAGGAGACGGAGGAGGAGGAGGAGGAGGAGGAGGAGGAGGAGGAGGAGGAGGAGGAGGAGGAGGAGGAGGAGGAGGAGCACTTGCTTCCTTTCTCGCCTCCCTGTCGCTCCGTTTAAGGGGTGTGGGGTGTGGCATGTTGCCATCCACCTGCGCGGTCTGTCGCCGTCCACCTGGATGCTGAGAGGAGGAGGAGGAGGAGGAGAAGGAGGAGGAGGAGGAGGAGGCGGAGGCGGAGGCGGAGGCGGAGGCGGAGGCGGAGGCGGAGGCGGAGGCGGAGGCGGAGGCGGAGGCGGAGGGGAGGCGGAGGCGGAGGCGGAGGCGGAGGAGGAGGAGGAGGATAGGGAGGAGGAGGAGGAGGCGGCGTCGGCGGCGGGCGGCGGCGGAGGAGGAGGAGAGAGGAGGAGGAGGAGGAGGAGAGGAGAGAGGAGGAGGGAGGAGGAGGAGGAGGAGGAGGAGGAGGAGGAGGAGGAGGAGGTGGAGGAGGAACAATTAGGAGGAGGAGGAGGATGAGGAGGAGGAGCAGGTACCTCCTGGTGAGCACGCGGCCCTTCGTGCCACGCCGTGGGCTGTAAAGCCACACGACGAGCTCCCAGTGGCCACGCGCCTCAACGAGTTTGGTGCGAGCAGGGGCTGCGGTTGTCAGACGATCACAGGGGGAGAAGGGGGTTGAAGTGGGTTGAAGGGGGAGGAGGAGAAGGACGAAGGAAGATGAGATGGAGGAGTCGACTGGTGGTGTTGGTGATGATGAGGCTGATGCTGATGACGATGATCATGCGATGATGATGCTGATGATGATGATGCTGACGATGCTGCTGATGATGCTGCTGCTGATGATGATGATGATGATGATGATGCTGATGATACTAAGGATGATGCAGATGATGCTGATGCTGCTGCTGCTGAGGACGTTGATCCTGCTGATGCGGCTGATGATGCAGATGATGGTGATGCTGATGCTGCCGTTGATGACGACGATGATGATGCTGATGATTAGGATCATGATGACAATGAGGAGGGAGGAGGAGGAGGAGGAGGGAGGAGGAGGAGGAGGAGGAGAGGAAGAGGAAGGAGGAGGAGGGGACGAGAGGAGGACGAGGGGGAAGAGCGGAAGAGACGTGGAGGAGGAGGAGGGCGAGGAGGAGGCGGAGGAGGAGAGGAGACGAGGAGGAGGCGGAGGAGGAGGGACGAGGGAGGAGGAGGGGAGGAGGAGGAGGAGAAGAAGAGGAGGCGTGAAGGAGGAGGAGGAGGAGGAAGGAGGAGAGGAGGAGGAGGCGGAGGAGGAGGAGGAGGAGGAGTCAGACGACGGAGGTGGACGACGGAGGTAGAGTAAGGTGGAGGAGGGATGAGCAGGGAGGAGGGCAGGGTACGGTCGACCAGGAGGGATAGAAGTATCGAACCTCATGCCCACTCCCCCCTCCTCTCTTCCCCCCCGTCCTCTCTCCTTCTCCTCCTGCTCCTCCTCTTCCTTCTCCTCCTCCTCCTCTCCTTCTCCTCCTTTTCCATCTCCTTCTCCTCCTCCTCCTCCGCCTCCTCATCCTCTTTCTCTTTCTCCTCCTCCTCCTCCTCCTCCTCCTCCTCCTCCTCCTCCTCCTCTTCCCCACTCGTGCTCCTCTCTCAGTCACTTTCTTCTTGTGCTCGCTCTCTGCGGTTTCAGGGGATTCCTGGTCGCCTGGGCAGCGGATTCACCTTGTTTGGAAATTCCATTGTCAAGCTCCTGAGCTTTTATTAGTTTATTTATTTGTTTATTTATTTATGTATGTATTTATGTGTTTAGTTTTTTTCTTAAAGCAAAACGTATCAAAACAGGTTTTCAGTATTTTGTCGGAACGCGAATTTGAAACTATGAGATGCCCATGTCTGTTGGGATTCTTGAGCGCCACCTCCTCGTCCTGCTCCCCCTCCTCCTCCTCCTCCTCTTCCTCCTCCTCCTCGTCCTCCTCCTCGTCCTCCTCCTCCTCCTCGTCCTCCTCCTCCTCCTCCACGTCCTCCTCCGCCTCCTCCCACTTCCTCTCTTTTGCTCCTCCTGCTCCTGCTCCTGCTTCTGCTTCTGCTCCTCCTGCCCTTTCTCCTCCTCCTCCTCCTCCTCCTCCTCGTCCTCTTCCTCCTCCGCGTGGCGCTGGTCCAGTCAAGGAAGCACCCGCTCGAACTCTCCGGAGATATCATGAGGCACCAGGAGGCCCCAGACGGTCCCAAGAGGTTCAACGAAGCCTCAGGAGGCCCCAGGAGGTTCTAGGACTTTCCAGGAGACCCCAGGAGGCCCCAGGAGGCCCCAAGCTTACCCAGGAGGCACCAGGAGGGCCCAGGAGGCTCCAGGAGGCACCAGGAGGTCCCAGGAGGTCCCAGAATGCTTCAAGAGGCTCCAGGAGGCCCCAGGAGGTTCCAGAAGGCCTCAGGAGGTTTCAGGAGGCCCAGGAGGTCCCAGGAGGCCCCAGGAGGTCCCAGGAGGCACTCCAAGGAGGATTTAGTATCTCCTCCTGGTCGACCCAGACGAGGAAGAGGAAGATAATGTGTTACAGCAGGTCATGGGATTAGGTGCGGAGATCAGTTGCGGGTTCTCGGGGGTCATTAGAAGTTCTGGGTGGTTCCAGGGGGTATCATGCTCTCCGTGCCTCCCCCATATCCCCTTCCGCCCTCGCCCTCCCTCTTCCTGCTCTCCTCCCGCACTCTTTCTGATCTTCTTCCTCCTCCCCCTCCTTCTCCTCTTCCTTTTCCTCCTGCGTCCTCCTGCTCTTCCTCCTGCGTCCTCCTCCCTGTCCTCCTTCCTCCTTTCTTCCTTCTTCTTTGCTTCTCCCCTCCTCCTCCTCCTCCTCCTCCTCCTCCTCATTCTCCTTCTTTTTTGGGGTTTTGTTGTTCGTCGACTGCTGGAGCTTTCTTCTCTTCCGTCCCCTTCCTCTGCTTCTCTCTCCTACCTGACCCTCCTCATATCCCCCTTATCCTAAACTCCTCCTTCTCATGCTTCTCCTCCCCGTCCTCCTTCCCTGTCTTTTCTTACTCTTTCTCTTCTTCCTCCTCCTCCTTCTCCTCCTCCTTCCTCCTCCGCCTCCTCCTCCGCCTCCTCCTCCTCCTCCTCCCTCCTCTCTTGTTCTTTTCTTCCCATGCTCATGTCGATCACACCTCCTCCTCCTCCTCCTCCTCCGCTCAGCTGCGGCGGAATTATCTTGAAGCGGTAACGTTCTGAACGCACCCGTGCTGGTCTGGGCTCACGCCTTCTCAATGGTTGTGAGCGGCTGCAGCTCGCAGAGAGAGACGAATCGCGATTCGCTCCATGACGGAAGCCTTTCGAAGTACGATCGTTTTGTGTCGAGTCGACGCGGCGGCCACCCCAGCGCGGCCATTCAATATGGAACGCCGCCCGTGGCCCAGAACCGGCCGATGTATGATCTTCGTCGCGATTGGAAAGCTGGCATCGTTCAAGGCCGAACGGTCCATGGTATGTCAGAGACCATCGCGCAAGTCGCAACGTCACGGGCCGGCCGTGTGCGGAGGACGGGTCAGGACATCGAGGTGCAAGAAGGACGTCCGTGGCGGCCCCTCTGGCAGCTCCCTCGCTCCAGGCAGTGTCACTCAGTGCCCACCTTGTCCCGGTGCAGGTGTTCGGCAGCGCTTCCCTCCGATGCGGTGCGAAAGCTGAGCAGAGGGCGCCGGGAGCCTCCGGCTCCAACCAGAGTTTTTCTCCGAAGGGCTTAGGCGACCCGTCCTCCTCCTCCTCCTCCTCCTCGTCGTCCTCCTCCTCCTCCTCCTCCTCCTCCTCCTCCACGTCCTCCTCCTCCTCCTCCATCTCCTCCTCCCCCTCCCCCTCCTCCTCCGCCTCCTACTCCTCCTCCTCCTCCTCCTCGGGTCGCCTACGGCCCCGGGGGAAACCGTGCACCAGCGGCTTTGTCTCCAATGTGAACTCGTACGTTTGGGCACAAGGTAGTTGCCGCGACCCCAGTGAGAGGAGGCAGCTCGCTTCTGCCACCGCTTGGACTGTGCCCAGGCAGGTTGATGAGAGTTGGGCTGTGGCCACCGTTTTGCGATGTGGGGTGGCTAAGCTGGCCTCTGCGAGCTCCCACAGCAACCCCTCCGTAGTCCGTCTGCCAAGCTGCTTTGCCCTCTTCCTTCGAAAGAACCTCTGCGGACCCCGCCCCCTGCCCCCAACCGTCTTGAGGTGCAGGGTCCTGGTTTTGAAGAGACAGCGCCCCGCGTCCTCTCCTCTCCTCCTCTCCTCTCCTCTCCTCTCCTCTCCTCTCCTCTCCTCTCCTCTCCTCTCCTCTCCTCTCCTCTCCTCTCCTCTCCTCTCCTCTCCTCCCCCTCCTCCCTCCTCGCAGCCCTGCTTCCGCCCTGCATTTCGCTCTCAGGTGGGTCCTCATCTTCACGCTGCTGATGTGCGTCCTGCTGCCGGTCATGCTGGGCCTCTTCACCTGGCTGGTGTACTCCCTGGTGGCCGACTTCGACCTGGAGTGCGACGTCCCGCTCAAGCTCGACGGGCACGAAATGCCCCCCCAGACGCCCGACACTGTGATGCTGTTTCGCGGCGTGTGCCCCCAGGAGGTCCGGATCCCTTTTTTTCCGGGGGTCCTGGGTCGTCTTGGACGGTCCCGGGGCTCGGATCCCGAAAACCGTACAAGTCTGGTCGACCCAAAAGGGGGTCCAGCGAAAAGGGGGTGGTGCAATAGATTGCGAAGGCCTTACGGCCGGTGCCGCCGACCCTGAAGACGAAGAAGAGGAAGAAGAAGATGTCGAGAGGGGGGAGGGCGGCGCGACGTCTTGGAGGCTTCTTGGACGGTCTTGGGGCTATCTTGGGCGTCTTCGGCCGATCTTTGGGCGACTCGTTGACCCAAAAGGGGGTCCAGCGAAGAGGAGGTGGTGCAATAGATTTGGTGCAACAGGTCTATTGGGTTGCAGTAGATCTGGGGTGTGCAATACATTCCAATGTGCAAAAGTGTTGCTGGGTTTTCGCGTGCAAAACATGAGTTACAATACAATGCAACACAATTCTCTGGCGCAGTACATTTGCAATACCATCGCCTCAAATCTATTGCACCACCCCCTTTCAGCTGGACCCCCCTTTGGGCCACGAGGAACAAAGCATCTTCCGCTGTGATTCTTTCCATCACGCGAAGATGTCAGGGCTTCTCCTCCTCCTCCTCCTCCTCCTCCTCCTCCTCCTCCTCCTCCTCCTCCCTGTTCTTCAGCTAGAGACAGTTTTTGATCCCCTGGCGTTAAACCGGACGTGACCACTGCGGGGCCTCTGGGGGCCTCTGGGGGCCCGTTCCCTGGTTCCCGGACCGGCAGACAGCGGATGAGAAAACAGGTCCTGCGGGCCGCGGAGGAGGGGTGCAGATTCCTCAGACCCCCTCGAGCAGTGAAGAGTCCTTGCAGGGGGGCTTTTCGCCATCTTCGGCATCTGGGGGCCCTGATTACCAGGCCTCGGGGCCGTCAGAACACGACTCGGGGCGAGAAGCGGGTCCCAGGGAATGGGTCCAGACCCGGGGCTCGACGTAATGAAAAAATCATGACGTCGGGGGTCTGGGTCGTTGGCTTACTCCGCATCGCCGACCGTGTAGGGCCGTCTTCGGGCGTGAGCCGTCTGGGGTGCCCTCTGTGGCCGTCTTGAGGCTCTCTTCGGAGGCCTGTTGGGCCATCTTAGTTTACCAGAAGTCCGAAATTGCGAGAACGGTACAATCCTTCAACACGAACTTAGGCAATCATTGAGTTTTGCTTTTGGATGGCCTTCTGGGAGTTCTCTTGGAGCCCTCTTGGGCCTCCTTCGTGGCATTCTGGGCCGTCCTGAGACATCCCGGCCGTTCGTGATGGACCATTTTGGCTCAAGGCTCAAGTTTTATGGCCCTACTCTGGCAGACTGCTTCTGGCGCGCTCGCGCCCGCGGAACTTTGCTCGCTGGCCGCGCTCGCCGAGCTTTGCGTCCGCACCTCGCAACATGTCCATGGCGTCGATCCAGCGCAGGAAGGCCGAGGCTCTGGAAGCGAGGCTGAGCGATCCGAACGACGGCCTCACCAAGAACATGCTAGCGTTTCGCGAGGAGCAGCAGGCGCAGGCGAAGGTGGCAGCGGAGAGGGCGGCAGCGGAGCGGGCGGCAGCGGAGAGGGCGGCGGCGGCGAGGCCGGCGCCGGCCAGCACGGGTGGGCGCGGGCGGTGCTCGACTAGAGAGGGCGGGGAGAAAACTGGCTCGGGCCGGGGCGCGACGCCCGAGGCGGGCCTCTGACTAACCTCGATCAACAAAGTGCTCGCTGTACTTGAGCTCGCTGCACGAGCGGTCGTCCTGCTCAAGCGCAAGCTGAAGCCGAGCTCATCCGTTCCGACGGCACTTCGACATCAAAAGCAGCTTCAGCAACCAATGGGCCTCGGCCCACTCGCGCGAGCAGATCGCGGCGGCGTCCGCCGAGTCGTTCGTCGCGTTGCTGCCGCCGCCGTACGATGGCGGGCGGATGCCGCCGCAGCCTTTTACTTCCGCGCCATCGTCGTCAATATCGATGAGTTTCGCCCGCGTGAAGCCGCCCGCTTCCTCGTCGCTTTCATCGCGCTTACGCTGGCGCTGCTCGAGGCGTACGAGCCCCGTCGTCGATGTCGCAGTCGAGATGGAGCTTTCAGTTCCCACAAGTCAGGGCGGCCAGATTCGTGCACTCGGGAAGGGTCTTGGTCAGCCTGTCGCCGTGGAGGCGCCGACAGAGTGGGAAGTAATCCATGGACACCTGGCCCAGCTTCAAAGTCTCATTTCCCGTGCCCGCCTCCTCGTCGTTTAACGGCTTGTTGTAATACAGTGCGCATGGAGCCATCGGCTTTGCGGCTCGGTGGCTGTCGTGCTATCAATTGTCTCATTCCGGAGCGCAGCTTCGCTGTCGTGTTTTTCATGTAATTAGGTCGAGGTGGTCTGTTGCTTTGTGGAAGTACCGAAAAGTGGCCCACCTTCAACGTTGTCTGCTGTTTGGTGTTTCGGAAAAAGCAGTGCGCCAATAGCAGAGCTTCTGATGAGGACAGACCGCAGCGTCTTCATCAAATGCTGAAACATCGATCGCGGTATCGTGATGAATACGGTGCCGGAGCATGCATGTGCAGTGCCTTTGGATTTGGCAGCAGATGGATGCCTTGGGGGCCGTGTTTGAACACTCTCGGGCCATCTTGAGGACATCTGGAGCCGTTTTGCGGGCGGGTCGGCCCGTCTTCTGCTCTCCGTGGAACGATCTGCACGCGCATGGGAGCCTCTCGGGGCCAGACGAGCCCGCTGGCCCTGGCGACGAGTCCGCCCGCCCTGGTGGCCCGACCCCCCCCCCTCCGAACCAGCTGGGCCGGGATCCCTGGGGAGGGGCCTGGGAGGGGGAGGCCCGCCACACGCCGAGGAGAGCGCCAAGGGGTCGGCGACCTCCTGGGGGGCCCACGCCGGGAGAGGACCACGGCGCTCGGGGCCCGGGGGGCGGGAGCCAGGCGGAGGCGGGGCATGGCAGGTTGGTTGCTGCCCGTCTCCCGTGGTCACGGCCGGGCTCGCCTCGGAGTCCTGGGTAACCGCTTCCAGCGAGAGGTCCGCAGAGCACCACGGACGGTGAAGAGGTCCAGGTCGGCGC